CTCCTCCTCCTCCTCCTCCTCCTCCTCCTCCTCCTCCTCCTCCTCCTGTTTTTCCATTTTGGGTGTTAAGAGAGATGCTAAGTTTTGGCGTTTGCTCTTTTAGCAAACCATTGTTAATTGATGGTAATAATGATACAGTTATACAACCTATGTAGACAACTGTATACAATATATACAATGATGCAACCACTGTATTTAGTTTATACTAAACTTTTGTCCTACTACCCTGGAATTCAGCTCAATCAATTTTGTGAATAATTTCCAAAGGGAGTTTGTGCAGCTTTTCAAAACATAGAACTGTGAAATATAATTGTTAAAAAAAATATCCAGAACAAGCGATAAAACTCAATCAACCTTGACTGATCCTAAGAAAATGAAACATAGCCAGACCTGGTTAATATTTGAAGGAAGGCCCACCAGCAGGAAATTTCTGAATTATAGGGATATTTTTTTTAAGGGACAAAATCCTGAACAAACACTGGATGGTACCAGTTGCCAAGAAAATATCATGTCAGCAGGAGTTCAGATTGGTTTGAGGAAATAATTCACGCCATAAGGTGGAGATTTTCTTAGAAAGTTGAAGACCAGATTTTAGATTGATGACGAGGAGTTACAGCCTGGTGTTCAGGTCACAAAATTTGATCCTTTTCACCGGGTTGTGTTCTGCTTGGTAAATTCCATGTAGACCTTACTTTCAGATTAAATGTGCAAAGCAAACCAGGATATAACAGTCTCATTGCAGTCTTCTGGCTTTTACTCTGAACACTGTCCTGCTTCAATCAATCATGGAGGACTGGAATGAGCAATTTCAAGAGTTCTGCCAAGTATGTGTAACGCTTTGCCTTCAAGAAAAGTATATACAAACCTAAGAAGGTTTCTCCTCCTCATCATAGTAAGCCAAATTTCATAAATTGTACTTATTAGTATGTGTCTATCCCCTATAAATCTCCTCCCTCCCCCTCAGAAACCTCTTGGAACCATGCAAAAAGGAAAGTAGGGTCTTGGTCTTCTAGTTTTGCTCAGGCAGTTGACTTTGTTGGGCTCTCTTAGAAACCTGGAAATAGTATTTTGGACTGCATTTTTAGCAAAAACTAGCCAATAGCCTGGCATTGCCCAGGTATTTATTTATCCCAATCCTGTATTAGACAGGAATATCCTGTAGTCGGGACTCACACTGTTGTACTGTCTCTCGCATAGCATCGCAAGTCGTCTATTCCTCTCCTCTGGAGTTTCTTGTCTACGTTGGTATTTCATATTTTTTATTGCACTTGGCCAATCACCTGACGTTTCCTTGGAGGGCTGAGAGGGAGCCCCCTTGTGGAGAACTGGAGAACTGTGAAGCTGTTACCATGGCAAGTTCACTGTGCTGTACAGTAGAAGCCATTTTAAGGCACACCCCCACACCCCGAGGGGTGTTAGGGGTGTCTTACCCCTACAATATTTGTTTCCAGAGAGTACGTCATCTGTGTACCAAAATTTGGTTGAAATTGATCGAGGCCTTCCAGAGCTATGCTGGAAGACACTCTCTCTCTTTCTCTCTCTCTCTCTCTCTCTCACACACACATATATATATTTAAAACAGAAATGGCTGCGAAAGCCTGATGCACAGACATACCCAATACACAAGCCTGATGATGGCAGATGAGATTCTGCCGAAACGTCACTACAATTTTAAAAGCATAACTAGAATGACATGGGAAAATACTTGAACAAAGTTGAATAATATATGTATGTATGTATGTATGTATGTATGTATGTATGTATGTATGTAT